GCGTCGGCCTGCGGACTGAAAGGTCCCAGGTTCGATCCCGGTCAAGGGCATGTACCTGGGTTGCGGGCACATCCCCAGTGGGAGATGTGCAGGGGGGAGCTGATCGATGTCTCTCTCTCATCTATGTTTCTAACTCTCTATCTCTCTCCCATCCTCTCTGTAAAAAATCAATAAAATATATTTCAAAAAAAAGAAAGAAAATCTGGAATTCTGATTTTTTTCCAAAAAGTAAAAGATATTTTTCTAACATTTGTTTATTGTCAACAAGGTACATACTTTCCACAGCCCCAGAGTCACAGGTCTCAGTGGTCGGCTCCAGGTGGGTGATAGGCGCTCTGACACACTGACTCAGGGGTCCGTTACCTTCATGCGGCTCAATGAAAAGACACTGACTCCCAAGTTTCAAAGATGGCGAATGTGTGCCCAGTTCCTGGCCTATAACAGACTCTGCACACACGCACACACACTCTCACACACACTCACACACATTCACATACACACACACACACACACATTCACACACTCATACTCACACACACATACACACTCTTGGAGGGTGAGAAAGCAGAAAAGAAAGCAGATGAGCAATGGTTCCCCAGCGCCATTGCTTTCTGTTCTCAGTCACGTGTTAAAAACCAACCAATAACAGAGTGTGACAGCTCAGCAGGCGACCTGGCACAGGCCTCCTGGTGCCTCCACTTCCCATTTGTAAGGGAGGGCGCTGTGCCTCCGGGGGTTACTAGAAGGACTGAATGAGACAATGAACGGGAGCCTGCTCTGACGAGAGAACGTATTCTACAAATACTGTGTGATGGTCCACATGAACTTGGGGGTTTCTCTGGCATGGCTGTGTCGTGTGTGTGTGTGTGTGTGTGTGTGTGTGTGTGTGTGTGTGTATTTAAGTTTATTCTGAACAGTATGACCCAAATAGCTATAGATCTTTCCTTGCCAGCATCCACCCTTAAAGGTGCAGTCATTATGTTTTTACTATGCAGAATTGCCAGGAGCCGGTCCATCCTTGCTGTTTCAAGGGACCTGGAATATATGGCATACTGTTCTTAATATGTTTGCTCACCTTCTTGGCACTATGTGTTTTAACCAAGTTCACCTCTCCGAGAAAGGTTGTTTCCCCAGGTAGAGATTTTCCCCTGAAGTTAGGGAGGGAATAAAACCTCTTAACTGCCAGGCGGGAAATTAATCACTTTAACTACGAACAATCATGCTTACGGACATAATCTTTACTCCCTGGAACGGAGATAAGAAACACCCTAACCTTTGGAATAGAGATTGATAGGATTAGAATCAACTGGTATAAATACAGATGCAACAAGACAACAGGAGACAGAACTTAGAAGACAGAACTTAGGAGACTAGAATACAGAACTTAGATGAAGATTCTACACACAGAACCTAGAAGACAGAACTTAGAAGACAGAGCCTAGAGACGGGGGAGCTTCACTGGAGAGAGCATGCAAGGGATCCTGGATGGAAACTGGAGACGGAACCTACACACAGAACCTAGAGAAGAACCTAGAGACGGAACATGGCAAAAGATCCTGGACTGAACCTGACTACAGAAATTGGCAAGAGAACCTGACTAGAACCTGGTGACTGAACCTGGCTGGAGAACCTGGACAGAACCTGGCTGGAGAACCTAGCAAGAGAACATGGACACAGAACCTGGCTGGAGATCCTA